AGGTGTAATCAAACTATACGATAGAGCCATACTTTCGTATCATGTTTCACACAATTGATCAGTTTTTTATAGTCTCTTTTTAACGCATCAATTGCAGTCGTACTCACATCGATTATGTTTCGGAAAGTTCGTGACACGGAACTGTCAAATTGTGATTGTGAAAAAACGAATTCAGGAGATTGGTGAATTGGCTAAAGCTGTGCAGTAAGAAAGTGCGCTAGCTAACTGTATCAGTGGAGAGATTGGGTCATACCCGAATTTTAGAATTTCAAGTAAGGTACAGTCCGGAACGATCGTTGATTCTCCTTTGTTCGCGATGGTCAGCCAATTTTTTCTGGAGAATTCGCTACTGTCATAAATTATTCGTTAATTTTGTTTTAAAAATGCGCGAACGTATACGATAATATCGCTTACTTAACAATTTTCGAGCCCGAAAGCGTGCATTTTGATTCACAAAGCGCAATTAAATTATAAATCACGTGTCCAAACTCGTTTACTCGTTCAACCGGAAAACAAATGACCGAATAGTTAAAAAAATTTTAATAAAAAAGGCGAATATGGCGGTTCATACAATTCAAATTCAGAGCTCAACAGTAAAAGCCCGTTAATTGCAAGTACAATCACTGAGTTATTAAATGTGATAACCATTGTCACTGTTGCATCTGAATTGCGGATTGTATATACATTACAAATTTCCAGTTCGTTTCGAATGGTTCTATTAATTATTAATATTTTCGTAGAATATTAGTATGTTCAAATTTTATGTAATCGTCCTAATTAAATTCATGAATAAGCTTTTTTGCATTAAATGATCTTTTCAAAAGTCTATCCGTTACAAATACTTAACACTCACCAATTTGCTAATTATTGTTCAATTTTTCTAAACCATTTGCAACAAAATAATGACACGTTTGCGTAAATTGAATCGTTCCCTTAACTAATAATCAAACCACGCAACCATTCGCTTAAAAGAAAATCGACGGTCAAAGCAATAAAAACTCAACGAGTAAGAAAAGTAAAACCACAACCATTATCGAATTATCGTCATCGAAGTAAAATCGAAATAAACACTAATACCAATAAATGAATTTTTTAAATCAGTGGCTTTCTCTCTCCCGTTCGAGTAACAATAAACACAAACTTCTAATAATAAAATAAGAGAAAGAGAAAGAGAACTATGTGCATATATATGTGATCGGGTGTGCCGAGAAAGGCGCGCATATAACGGTATACGAGTATATGGAGTCGACCTCGCGCACACTACCATGCGTCTGCAAAGTAAAGTGGGACGCGGTGAAAGACAAAGAGCGCGGGAGGCTGCCGCCTCCTGACGTAATGAGGGAGCAAGAAGATAGTTTGCCTGTTGCGCGGGTGGCTGCTTTTCTTCCCCGGGCTGCTTCAAACGCTTGATAGGCTTTTAAAACGTGGTTTAGAGTAGGGGTTGACACGATGCTTTTTTTAGAGCTCTTTTTTATTTGCGTGGTTTTTCTTTTCTTTATTTTTTTAGATGGGGGGGGGGGGGGAGGTGATTGTTCGAAGTGCGAAGTAATGACTGTAGTCGATGCAACCTTTGAATCAAATAAAATTTCTTAAATTAGTTACAATGTTCTTTGAAACAGAACATTTTTTTCAACTCAACAACAAAATAAGTTGCCTGAAAAAAAATTTGGTTATTTCAAAAACATTTATTAGTATATGTGAAAGCTATTATGAAAGCATCAAATTCACGATTTGAAAAAATTTTCTTTTTACGTTAAAATTAGACGTCAATAATGGTTAGCGATTTGAAACAGTTTGGAAAGGATTTTTGTCAGAAGTTAATTCAGAAAAGTAAAGATCTATTACCATTTTACCATAAAAGTAGAAAAAAACTGTTCACATAAAATTCAACTTTAAAATTATTAAATGTGAATCTCTTCATTTCGAACCTTCAAATCGGATTTTTAAACCTGCTTGTGCACATCGAGTGTTGATTTTTCTCACGGGATGCAACCCACACGAGAGCAAACACTACTCTAATATCGTTACAAAGCATATCGCTTGTAATGCATGTATGCAATTTGACAAAAAATTACCGTGCACACGGCTTTTTAATGCCTGAGGTTTGCTCTAGAATAATTTGCACAAGATTATACGCAGATTATACGCTCGTACAGTCTCGTGTTCCTTCTCCTTCGTACATTTAGAATGCAAATTTATAAAGCGGTTATTTAGAATGAAAAAAAAAACAAGTCAACATCGCTTCCCAGACAGTTTTTTTCTTTACCACGGTTACTTTTACAGCTTCGCTTTGTCAGTCCTTTGCCGTCAAATCCTAAACAATGCACCGAGAGAAAAAAAAAATTCTCGAAGCCTCACACGCACGCTCACTTCCGCAATGTTTAATCATCGAGAAAGAGAGTAAAACCGATTATAGTTCATCCACGTGCAGAAGGAAAGAGAGAAAAGCTCATTTAGATATCGCACACAAAGTCCGTCGACCCTTAGGTAGCGAAGCCCCCCAATCATCATCTCGTGGATGTGAAAATGTACTATAACGTGGGCGGGAAAAGTAACGCTCTCTTTTGTTTCTTATATACGTTGCGCAACTCCGCGCTGAGAGAGCGAGATTGTGCAAAAGACAATTTGAGAGAGAGAGAGAGAGAGAGAGAGAGAGAGAGAGAGAGAGAGAGAGAGAGAGAGAGAGTAAGAACCGCATAATCGAGAAGCCAGCTAGCCTTTGTTTGGTGATTTCGCGGGATAAGAATTCGATAGGCAATTTTCGGCGGATTGGTTACTGTTGAATCGATTTCGTTATCCAATCTTGACACGTTTTTCTATCTAACTTTAACTTTCTTTGCCAAAACGAAATAGCAAATGAATAATCGATTTTCACGAGAATTTTAAGGGTTCTATTTACCCTTGTAGAAGATAAGTAGCATTGAAGAATAGCAAATTATTGCGAGCTATCGTGCATTTTCATTTTAAAACATTTTAGCAATTTGAGAAATTGAAAGATTTTTTGTCGTTGAAGGGTTTTCGATCGTTTGCAATAGATTTTCAACAAATTTTCATCGATTTCTTGCAAAATTATTGCATAAATTATTACTTCTCAACGTTGCTCTTTTTTGTCGAGGCGCAATTAATATTTCGAATATTGCAAAAATATCCCTTGCCTGCGTGTCCAGCTTGACAAAATTACGTAAACCCCCATGAAAGTCATGCGTACACTCCATAACAAACTTTCGTTGTGTTATCTCGCATTATCGCAGCGAAAAAAACAAACCAACAAACGGAACTTTCTCATGCTCTCGATCCAGTATCACTGCCCGTGCAATCAATTGTACAGGTGAGAAAATTGATCTGTAGGCCGTTTTCACGAATTTATCGCTTTTAGATTTGCCAAGCTATATAATTAATGGGCAAATTGATTGCTGCTCAAAGCGCAGTCGATTATGCGATACGTCGCGCAAGTCAGGCCCATTCGGATTTTTCGCTTTACGATAGCATGTAAATTACGCCACGCGGCGCCCGCTGATAAAGTCTCCGACGTGTGCGCAGGAGACTTCCTAATTGTCATTGCGCAATCGTAATTTTTGCATTGAAACTCTCCGAGAGACGTGTGCGATCGCGAGCGCGCGGAAGAAAAAGAGCTTGCACGCGTCGCGCGACGACAACGCGCTTTCGAACAGTGCTAAGGACCAACATAAAAAAAAATCGATCTCTCGAGGGGAATACGTCGCGGTCAAATGGTTGTCAGGTATTTTCTGTCTGTCTCGAAGGCAGTAAACGATTGTCCACGGCTGCAGAGTTAAAAGTGGCTGTAAAGTTGTTTTTCTCATCGTCGAGGCGTATATCATTATATTGTCCGCTGGGCAGGTACGGCAAGAGACTTTCCTTCATGAACGGCGACTTGGTCGCTGAATTCAGACTTGCATTGGAATGGCTTGTCGCTCATTGCTTCGTAGTTGGGCAGATAAAATGTAGATGATTTATACGATGAAAGATTTACAATTTTTTAAGATGCGCAGGATATCTTGATTTCGCTGCGTAGTCATTCTCGTACCCTGAAAAAACGAGAGCTTAGAAGCGAGATTGAATTTCTTCGACCCGAGCCGTCGACAATGCCGTTAAAATCTTCTTCCGCGTATCTTTTACATTTCAATGGAACTCTCGCTTTAACCTTTTACGAGTTACAACGGCAAATAGTTGCGGGTCCCTCGCTCCGGCGAAACAATGCAAAAGTGCTTTCGAATCAGACGTTATAAACTACAAAGTCCATTGCGTGACTCAAAGATACAATGAAGGCAACTCGCGAGTCATCCGCAGCTCGTGTGGCGTTTTCTCTGATACAGGGAACTCGGTGAATGGATTTTCGTTACACACCCCTGGCCGGGGTTGATACAAAGTTTGATGAATGCTGTGATGGACAAAGTTTGTTATACTTTGTACGTAATCAATGAATAGCAGGGATTAAATCGAGTTGTTCCGATTTGGTGTTGCAAGTAAATATTCGCGAGCGACGTTGATTGAATTTACCTTACAGAACATGCAATTGATGATGCTTAACGAATGTCGGATTACGCAGCTCAATAAAATATCTGTAGTAGTTTGTCAATCCTCTGCTTGAGTGCTTCGACATGATTGTCATCTTGACTCATCGGTGCTAACGAACTCGTTGCTCGAGTTTGACAACTATATGGACCACACTACTGTCACTCGCGTGCCAAAGACTATTCTGCTGCATCTGACACGTACATAAAAGTAAGCTAGAATGTATGTCGAAATGCATTGCCAGTGCATCGATCATGAACGAAACTTTCGACGTAAAAAAAAAATAAACGTTCGGTAATTATTTTTGAAAGCTAGCATTTTTATGTTAGCGTGGTAGTGCAGACCAACGATAGCGTTGAGATTTGCGTTTGATCGATAGGATATTACAGCTCAAATCATACTCTACCCAACAACATTTTTCGCTTGCTATATATTCGAGCAACGAAAATACACGCGCAATGTCCATGGAATTCATAAAAAATTTTTTTTGGAATTTCATTAGTAGTACAAATGTATAATATTATCGCGTTCGAAAATTGTTTCTAAACTATTAATAAATATATTATTTCAAGTTACAAATGTATATTGGTAACATTGTAAATAAAACTTCGATAAAAGTCAATGCTTACGTGTATATTATACACGTCCGGATGATTAGGTTGATCTTCGGGACAGAAAGCTTGACTTACACCGATAATCTCATTGCCATTGATCAAAAGCGGGCCGCCGCTATCACCCTTAAAGTACAAACGTTAAATAAGTATATATCGTTTATTATTGATCTCTCCATATTACTTGCCATGCCTGGCACCACAGGTGGATCTGCGACTGTACAAATTTCGTTCAGCTGCGCTTCTGTCCTGGAGTATCCTAATTTTTCCAAGGTGTTTTCGCATTCGGTTTTATTCATGACGTTCAGTGATACCTTCTGTAAGAGATTTGGTTTGACTCCTCCTGACAATTCACCCCATCCAACTGCAACGGCTACTTTGTTGTAGTGCTTATCGTCACTGTCGCTTGATATTTTAGGCATTTGAATGTTTTTTGTTACTTCGTTAGACAACTAAAACAACATTGGTAATTTGTCAAGAATAAAACGAAGAAAAAGGTCATAAATCCATACCGTAAAAATAGCAATGTCATTGCACTCGTAAATAGTTTTAGAAGAATTTTCCCGTTGAGCCCAGTCGTTGTAAGTGACCCAGTTGTCGACAGTGCTTAGACGATATTTTGTGCCGCCATTATCTAAATCGTTCGTACCAACCAATACTCGGACGTTGCGTGGTCGGCGAACTATTTCGGTACAATGCGCTGCTGTTAATACGTGCGTACAAGTAATGAGTGAACCTGTGCAAATATGTCCACCATCATCAACATTAAAACCTATTGATACTATGAACGGGAATTCATTCTTTTCAGCGGGTACAATGTTCTCGCCTCCGATGAAAGGATTTGCAGTTACGACTGAAATAATATGATAAATTCAAATTGACTTTTCATTGTCGAAATATTTGTGTTTAACTTACAGGATACAAAAATTTGTAGATGGATTGGAAAGTAAACAAGATAAAGCATAATCGTTCCTTATTCTTTTCGAATTTTCCAAAAATTAAATTTTTTAAAGTAGTCTTGGCGTTATTTATATTTATATGTTGAATACGCGTGACAAAGCGATAACACTTTCGTTCCTCTTTTATGAGTCCAAATCCTGATAAGAATGCAAATAACTAAAAAAACCTCAAGCAGTAATGATGTTTAATGGGTCTATATACTACACTGCGTAAGCTGTGAATAACACGAAAAAAACTATTTTCATATTCGATATTTTTTAACGTTGCTAGTTGACGATATTTCAATTATTATATTACATAGTGATATTCAATTTTTTCCGATCCCCTCATTGGTTCTGTTTTTTATAAAATAATTAATTATTTGGACTGAAACTGTGCACGCATGTAGAGATAGTCGATGTGATTAATGTTTTACCCTTATTTTTTATAAAATTGACGAAACAAAACAAATTTTAGGGCGTTTTCGCATTTTCTGTTTTTATTTTACTAACTTTATCATTAGATAACAAAATTATCTAACTGTATTTCAATATGCATTTTTAATGTGATATCAATTAACAAACAATAGAGACAAATTGAAAATGAAATTATTTCTCTTATTTCATGTCTAAGTCCTTGTCCAGTTTTAGGGCGGTCGGATAATTTAAATCGATAAAGTGTGCTAACATATAGGAGATCTGGAAAAACTCAAAATTGTTCTTTTTTAATAAATGTTTTGAAAAATAGCTCTATAGCGAGCTTCCTGTGTACAATCGTTGAGTCCCTGTCAAGTTTTGACGCGATCGAATAATTAAATTGGACAAAAAATGTTAACAAGTGGGAGATGAATTCCTAAAGCAAAACTGTGGTGCAGCGCAATTATTTCTCCAGAACAAAGGAAAATGTGTGTGCTACAAGTAAATACGGGGAAAAGTCTGCATACGTCGAATGCGGTCCCTTTGGGCAAACCAAATTCCACGTGTGGCAAGCGCGCCCTGCATTCGTGTGTGTGTGTGTGTCTGTATCTTTTGTCGGTTGTTTTTCCTCGGAAGGAACGAGTGGATAAGTGGCCGAGATACGCGATTGGCAAAAAAGGACCGTTACGAGATGAAAGTAAAATTAAACGAAACGAAAGCAATCGACCACGTAACGTTCCTTATGCTTTCTCGTTTGGGTGTGTTCATTTGTGCAATTATCGCTTTTGGAACTACAGGACTTCTCATCGATGCTTTAGAGATAAATTACGTTTATTTTCAGTTTTTTATATGTTTTTCAGGAAATTTTACAGTGTGCAATGCAAATTGCGAAGTGTAGATTGATAATGAAAATAGATGTTACAGAAACGTTTAATAGCTCACTGACAATGACACCCGAAATTCTACACACTTTTTATTAAAACTTAACGTTTTTTTATGTTTGATTAAGATTATCTGCCTGGTACAATTTCTGATCGAAAGATTCAATAAAGTCTCGATAATATTGAACACTCTGATAAACATTCTGCTCATTAGAATGCTCGATATCTTTAACACGTGTAGACTTTTTAACGCCAATCAAGTCAATACTGTTGAGAATAAGTAGACCGCCACTATCAGACTATGTAATTAATAATGTTTTATTTTAGTGATAAATAAATGGAGACAGCGAAATAATAATCTTTTACAAGTAATCAGTGACCACAAGTATTCGCGAACTTAACTATGCATTTCTTTCTGGATATCACATTCAAACTGTTAAAATTATAATTTGCCACCTGTAGAGTGGATATTTCCATATAAAAATAAAAACACTGTAGTTTAATGAAGAACATATAATTAATTTCTTTTAATTAATTTTGCGTATGCAGAACGATTATTCTTGCGTCGTAAAATTTCTATTTAAGTCGTGAATTGTTAAAATAAACTGATCTATTTGTACACACAGAGCATATCGGTCACGAAAAGATTAGTCGCTCTACTAGGATGAGTCGCTTAAAAAACGATTGCCATTTATTTCAAGAGGTAGAAAAATAGTAGCATACGGAAATAGCATTCATCAATGCCTATTCATAATCTTTTTTTTCCTTACATACTGTAGATCTCAGTGAGCACAGTAAGCACCCGACGATTCAGCAGAGCAGGCACGCCAAGTTCGATACTGTCTTCGGACAGCGACATCCGGTTCACTCGCAAATTGGGCAGTCAGTACAGGTGTGGCTGCTGTGTACTTGCCGCTTTCCTGTTGTTCCTACTTTTTGCTGGCGTTGCTATCTATCTTGGATGTGAGTATATGATTTTTACGTACATTTTTGCGTAACTGCGGGTGTTCGAGCGTAACGGAAACTTTCGAAATAATAGCGACAACATAAAAATATGTACTGTCTAGTGTCCAGAAAGAAAGTTAAAGTAGTTATCATTCGCGGGGACTATTTTACGATAATATGAAAATTACACCGTTTTATGTTTTTTCAACGTTTAATGTATAAAAGCTTTGCAAAACCTTCTGCCGAAAATTTAATTCTTCACTCTTTTTTGATAGATTTGACGAACTTACTATCTTTACAATTTTTATGAATGGATAATTTCATTTCGATAAATGTTCGTGTGAATATTGAACTTTGTAAATTTGTCAACAATAATGTAAAAGTAACGCAAAATTCATGATAAAATGAAACTTTACTAAAAAAATGCTTTTAAATCCTTTGGAGGTGAAGAATTTTGCAAAAGCTTGTCAAAAAATTTACAGCATTTATTTACATGGGAAATATATTTTATGATTGAAATTCTGATATGAGAATTCTGATGTGAGAAATCAAAGCTTGTGTATATGTTAAATGTATTCCTTCTTTTTCTTTTATTGACAGTAACTATGACTTTTTTTTTCTTTAAAACTGTTTTTGGCGCACATATAAATTTTAATCTTACTTATTTTTACATGGACAATCCGAAGTATTTCACAGCATTTCATTTGCACTTCATATACAAATTTTATTGTCAAAACGTTAATATTTTTTCAAATCTCATGAATTTGTTAACAAAATTCTTAAAACGCATCTCAATTCATTCGACTGTATCACAATTATTACTCTTGAAAAGTTTAAACAACAGCAGCTAACAATCAATCAAAGAAGCAGTAGCACAAACGAATTAGTAATTTTAGCAGCAGCTACCACCCGCCGACTATCTATGTATCTCTAAATAAATTAAGCACCAACGCGCCGCGAGCTGCACCGAGCGAACTATGGTAGAAGTTTTAAAGGCGTTATGCAAATCAAGTGCCGCGCGCTCTGCACTCCGCACTAGCGCGTAACGCAGTTAGTCGAACTGTTTCTAACAGGTACTCTCTCTCTCTCTCGCTCGCTCGCTCATAGAGATCGCAGCAAGAACTAATATCTGAAAAAAGAACTTGAATTTCAATTTATTCTGCTGTATCTATCCCTGCGTGGAAATGTATATTCAGACTATTATAGGGGTGTACTTGAATTTCAAACGTGCGATGTGGGGCTTTTGAAGCGTAGGTGGTGGATTCATTTCCTTCCTTACTATTTTGTCAATTTGGAATGTCGAATGAAGGGCCGTGAACATACTGTTTTTATGCAATTTTCGAAATCGAAAAGTAGCGACGACAAGAACATCGATTTTAGAAAAGTTTTCGAATATACGGGTGAGTGGACAAAGCAAGAAAGCTCCGCCTAATTGCGAGGTCAGGCAGCATCGCAAAAATTAGCATCTCTACAATCTTCATTAGCATAATACGCGCAGCGAAAAGATAAGCACTCGATTTCCGTGTCGCATTGCAGCTCCCGCAAGTAACCTGTTTTCATCGTCTTTGAAAAGTAAAGAAAAAAAATGGAGATAGTGAGATAGGAGAATTTCCATTTCGCGCATCGCCTCGAGCTTCCGCGCGCCAAGGGACAAAGGAAATGGAGACTCCAACGGAGCGGCGTAAACGCCAAGCTCGTTGATTTCGGTTATGTGGGCTAATCCTTTCTCTCTTTCTTCTTTTTTTCTTGTTACTCTAATTCCGGCCTATTTTCGTGAAGGTACAGTTGTGGTAGTATAATTTAAAAGAAAGAATTGTTATCTTACTATATCATTAATTTAAACTTCAGATAAAACACTGTCTTGCGATCTATTTTGCTAACGATTTCACAAACTATTCTAATGTTTATATTTACAGTCAAGTATTTAATGCAACAAGCTTCTGCCTTCGCGTATTTCACGACTCAAGTACAAATTTGCACTGACTATGAAACGTTCAATTTTCAAATAATTAAATTACAAAATGAATGGCTAAATGAAAATCCATTCATTGACTTCACAATGCCGCTTAATAACATGCCTAATTAATGAAGTTGCTGCTGCTACATAATTGGCATACGCAAAGTTCAGCTATGCGTTTTTTAACGAGAAATGCAGACACAAAGGACTCGCAATAACAATAATAATAACAATAATAATAACAATAATAACAATAATAACAATAATAATAACAATAATAATAATAATAATAATAATTTTTCACAGATACGTTTCTACTATCGGATATCCCACACGATCAGATTTTCCTTGCCACATTCCGAGTGACGCGCGGCGACGCTTTTACTGCAGAGCTCGCAGACCCAAGCAGCGAAGTGTTCAAGCAACGTTCGAGGATTTACCGCGACCGACTCAATCTACTGTTCCGACGTAGTCAGCTGCAAATACCGTTTGTCGCCGCTGAGATTTTGGCGCTTGATGGGTGAGTTTACTTTTGCATTAGCGTTAGATTTATATAGATATAGTTCAAGTAAGATTTGAAATATTTGCTGAAAGATTGCAACGATTGTCAAATTTAATAAATTTGACAATCGTTGCAATCTTATTATTATATAAATTAAGACATATAAAGGGATGTTTTTCAATTTATCTTGAATTATAAATCAGTATTTGTCGATATGATTTATATTGGCAGTATATATCCAACATTAAGAAGATCTGCTAAATAACAATATAATTGGAAATAAGAAATATGAATTGATTTAAGTTATATCGTTATTCCGCCAATATTCCTTGAAATTATATAAAAATTAGTCTCATAAATTTAAAAATGACAAAAAATGTCAAAAAATATAGAAAATTTAAAGAAACTGGAAAAAACTAAAAACACTCTCAATAAAAAATTAATAAGATATCTAGAAAATTATACGTATTAAATACGTGCGTATGAAATAAAATGATTGAAAATAGAGAAAGAGTGACTTTCTCACTTATTAAAAATGAACAAAATGATCCATTAATATTGTAACTCCCAAGTAGCGAAAATGAAAGGCTACATTCTTATATTACAAGAAAACTCTTACACATCAAATTTAAACATAATCCTAGAAATTATGTAAATGCCAGATCATTAAGAAAACTTTGTTTAAACCTTTTCATTAATTCAAATGTAAAAGAATTTAATAATTCTTCTAAGTAAAATTTTATGTCTAAGGATTACAATTTAAAAAGTTGATAACAATAATTATTAAACATTCAAAATTCAAAGCAGCATCTCGCACTACACAACCGAAAAAAAAGTCCAGTTAAACGTAAGCCAAACGAAAACATAATTACAAACCAACCACGTCCTTTCAGTGAAATCCAGTTTACGAAGATAATTTTTTTCCCGAGATCTACGTTAACGTAATTGTCAGAAGATTAGGTCGTGACCACCAGAACTAACGAGTCATTAAATTCAATCTCTCTCTCTCTCTCTCTCTCTCTCTCTCTCTCTCTCTCTCTCTCCGTTATTTTTAAAAAAAGACGTCTGCTTGACATACAGCAGTCCTGCTGCGAGTATCTGCCGTATTAATCTTCTACGACAATAATAGCCATTACTGTAGATTAGGTTGGGGGTTGAGGCTTCTTGTCTCATTGTTTCCAGTCCAGCAAGAATATAAGAAACATAATTTCTCGCGGGATCTAAATTTTGTTTCGAATAATATTGTGATTATTCCAATTATAATTTTATTAAAATATATTTTTATGGATTGCACAAAATTACATACCGAACGTATATGTGAGATTCGTGTAAAATTTATGAGAAATATATTATTAGACATTTATATACCTTGTTGGAATGTTGTATAAGTTCATTAAATTTTATACATTTTTATAAAATGCATTTAAACATTTTCAGCAGGGATCGAGTCGATTTAAAAAAAAACAGCATTCCGATAATCATAGAAAAATTATATAACATTTAAAGAAAACAAGATTTAGTTATATAATTATCTAAATAGCTAAAAATAACCCACTTCAATATTTCACACTCAAAATCACGCGGAGAAACCATATTCTACGTTATTAAATTCAACAAACCATTCGAAAACCGCAAAGTTCACATGGCGCGGTCAAATCTGTCCGTGTCACGAAAACCAGATTCCTCTGTGGCTAAAAGTCCGGCCCCCGCCTTCGTGTTAAACTGTAGGCACCGGGCGTATAATAAAAAAGTTCTTCAAAACTTTTCAGAGGTTAGTTTACCGCCCGCACGTGTTAGAATTTTCATAGTGAAAAAAGACTTATAATCATGCTTCTTCTTTAACATCTATTTTTGTTATTTTGTTGGAGACACGTATGTCATTTCAGGCTTCAAAGAATGCTGTCGGTTATTAAAATTAGCTTTGTTTTTTAAAGTTTTTTGGGATTTTTCAACTCGGGCCGTTTTTATAAATTAATACAGTACGTGCGTGGTATTTTTAATATTGATATGCAAAATTTTAAATGCAGATTTCACTCGTGCTTATCAATTTAGCGTTTCATACCAATATAAAACATTGGTTTTACAATACAAAATTTTATGATTGTTTAAGTTTCATTCCCTCAGTGATGCATATTTCTTTCAGTTTTTCATAAAAGATTTGTTCATTGTAGGTGAATATGAATAAATATTTCAATTTTTAACATAAAAAAAGATGAGATGAAAACGGATATGAAAATCCTTTGAAGAAATCGAATTCAAATTTAATTATTTATATTGTTTTTAAAATTCGTGTGATGCACAGTTTCAAAAACAAGTATATTGGGTCTTTCAGATTCTTGATTAACGATCCAAATTCAAAATAAAAAAAAATTATTGTAAATTTGAGTCGTTGAATTGAAAATTCTTGGCAATTCTTTTTCAAAATATGACTTTTTTCAATTTATAAATATACCTATAAAAATATAATCTCTTTCCTTCCAGAATTGAAAATGAAGATTTGCAAGTGCATTTTGACGTACGTTTTGACATCCGTTACGGCAATGTTCAGACGTCAGACGTTCTATCGATTCTACAGCATGAAATGCAACTTGGAAAATCACGATTCTTTTCCAACTTGACAATTGATCCAACGAGCATAGAAGTACAAGAAAGTATAAGCGCTGTTGACAAATTAGCTTTACAATCCAACCAAACGCAAGAAGAAATAATGACAACGACATCGCCACGACCACCAAGACGATGTTCACCTATCGAATTCTCTTATTGCAAACATTTGCCATACAATACTACGTCTTATCCGAATTTCTTTGGTCATGCGAATTTGCAAGAAGTCAATGATGATATTATTGCGTTTAGGTAATTTTTTTAATATCAAAGATTACACTGTAAAACAATTATTTTATTTGTTTTGAGTGATTAATGACTTTTAGATTGCTTATTTTTTATCACCGTACTGTTCTTATCTAAATTTTTACTTATTTGACGAATTTTCCTTTTCGTTTTATGTAGTAAGATAATTATATTTCCAGAGAACTGGTGGATGCCGAATGTTATAAGCAAGCATATGACTTTATCTGCCAAGTATTGCAACCAGCTTGTATCGCAGATGACGACGAGGATAGATTACAATTACCATGTCGTGGATTTTGTAAGGAATTTTGGTCTGGTTGTGGCTCGCGTTTACCCGAGAGACTAAAGCAAGCACTCGATTGTTCTAAGTTTCCCGAATATATCGACGAGGGTAGTTGCCGTGCTAAATCTGGTAATATCCTATTTTACCATTCAATTGATAAATGAAACGAACGTATTTTTATGAAAAGAAACTGTCGACTAATTTGGCAGGTTGCATTCGCGAGTTGCAGTCGGCGGCGTTGTCGTCACGTGTGTGCGACGGTGTGATCGATTGCCCTGACTTCGGTGACGAGCGTGACTGCGCTTACTGTCGCGACGGCCACGTGCACTGTGGCATCGGCGCCGCATGCGTGCCAAGCAACAAACGTTGCGACGGTAAAATCGATTGCCCGAATGCCAGCGATGAGAAGGATTGCTGTGAGTTTTCCATTAGATGTCCTAATTATGCGTGCGAGAAAAATAATATAAAACAAAACTTTCTTTTATAGTGTCGTTAGCACCAAGCTTAAAGTGGTTGAAGTTGCAACCCAGCGACAGTGTATATCCGTCGAGTTACCGTAGCGAAGGTTATGCTGTGTTCAATGAAAAGGGTAGTCTTGGTAAAATTTGCACGGACAATCTGAACAATACTCTAGCGAACATGGAAATGCAATCGGTCCTGCAGTCCACTGCTAACTCGCTCTGCACTATATTGGGTTACGAGTGAGTTTTTAAGTTTCTTTTACTGGTTTGAAGTGGCTACGATGAAACGTCGGGATGATGAGAATGTATCGAAATAGATCAAATTTATAGAAAGGTTTTTTTTATCTGAAATTAAAATGTTCTAATTTTTATAGTGAAAGTTGACAGCTGAAAATCATTAATAATCATTCAAAATACTTACCATAATCATTTTTCGCGTTGAAAAACGATTGCATTCCAATTTTTTGTATAATTAACTATTTATATACTAGAATTAATAAAAAATTGTTTATAAAATTCCATTTTTGATCTAGGTATTGAGGTGACTTTCTATTCCAGTTTCGGACGAAAATCATCTTTTCTATTTGATAAAAAGCTTTTTCGACTTTAAAGAACCTGACAACACATGATATAATCTTTAAAACTAGTTCATTCAAATTTAAAATAACAAATAAGATGAGTATTCTGTATTGTAAAATATGCCAGTTTCTTGACAAACTTGTTTTCTTTCTTTAAAATAGTTCTTGTGCATTAGCTATATATGAATCTGATTAAAAATTTGAGTGTAAAAAGAGAAAAAAGAACTATTGAATTTCATCGTGAATTTATTTTGGTATTTGTAATCATAAGAGAAAATATTGATTATTTTCAATGAATTACCGATAAAACGACTTTATAACTGTATAAATTATCTAACTATATAAATTATCTGCTATACTATTGATAATTGAAATACGAATCCAGCAAAGGTACTTAACTAATACTCATAAAAGTTCTGAGCATTTTTAATGACATAAGTGATACTAGAACTATAATAATAATACCAATAAAAATAATGATAATAACAACAACAATAATAATTTCTTGATTAATAACCATCCAAATGGCATGAAATTTTACGCGGAATTTGGTAATATTTTTGAGCAGAGAAGCAACTTTAAACCAGAGAAGAAAAAAATCTCATTCTGAATTGAAAATTCAATGGTAATGACACATATACGCTAAAATAAAATTTGGTTTCTGCCGAGCAGGGGCTTGGAGTCGGTGGAGGTGAGAACAGACGATGAAGAGAACGTGTCGTACGTCCTGATGCAGGACCCAACTGCCCCAGAGATCAGCTTCGTTAGGGCGCCTTGCCCAAGCAAACAAGTTATGTACGTTCGCTGTTCTCAACTAGGTGAGTAATCTCTCTCTTTATTTTCTTTAAACTAAGATTCGCAAAGTCAAATATTCATTCGAAGCGTCAGTTATTATCCTTTGATTTCGTGGCATTACTCAGAGTGTAGACCAATTATTGTAAGTGTTTGTGCGATCGATTCATCGATACTTTTTCTCAGAGATTCAACGCTTTTCTTTGACAAAACGAGCTTTCTTATACTCGTGTTTTTTACATTTGCGTTAAAACTCGGAGTGATTTTAAACAAAGAAAAGAAGAGAGCATTTTAATGAAGAATTTCTGTTGCTGTTGGGTTATCGTTATATAGCCTGCGGGGTGCAGGGAGTGAGGTACTCGAAGGTACGCAGCAGTAGCCTTGGCAAAGTGGCTGGTCCAGGCGATTGGCCCTGGCACGCGGCCCTCTTCAAAGAGGACAACCACGTCTGCGATGCCACTCTCGTCTCGGCAAATTGGCTCCTCACCACTGCTTCGTGCTTCCAGGGGTTAGTACACACACAAGCGATATTTTTAGTAATACGTGTTTTATGATGTTAGATTACATTATTGATAACAGCGAGGAAATGTCTTATATGAGTATACATTAAGTTTGACTTTTTTCCTTTTATTAAAGTAATCAACGTTACTACGCATATAACTAGACGCGAATATTTAAAAAAATTATTTAAAAAATTCAAGATAGTAAACTACAAAAATAGAAGTATTCAATTTCGCTGCTTATATGAAATCAGATACTTGTGAACATAAGAACAAAGCATTTGCAAATCATTTTTACTGTTTTTTAATTCAAGAACTTTATTTGTATAATTTTCTATCCTTATTCAGAAAGAAAGTTCACTAGTCGTAAACATTTTTTATTATAAAAAATCTAATGTTTTCATTGATATTACGTAAAAAAGTTCAAATTCTCTTAAATACGAATTAAATAAGAAAAGTTAGTCTTAGATTAATCAGTTACATAGTCATATTATCGTTTAACACTGATAAACTTATTCGTATAATTCATCAGATCTTCAACAACTTCCTCGATCCGTACGCGATAATCCATATCATGTTCCATCGTATTTAATACGAAATCTATCCGATTCTGAAATCCGTACCTTTTGAAATGTTGGTCATCTTTGGTGAATTTCTTGCTCAATTCTTTGTTCAAAAGTGCAAGTGGTAATGTCTGCGTGGCATTGATTATCAATAACATTCTTCATCTCGGAATCCCTTACCCAACTCTTTCATCTGTATCATTTTTCCTTTATAGGCATGACTTCAAATTTTTACACAACTCCAAATGGTAAAGTTCAAATAAATATTTTTTTAATTTTTCCTTCTCTTCTCTATTCACATTCAGATATATAAACTGTACGAGATCGACGATGAAGTGTAAATTGCTTGTTGAAAAACAACGAGTCTACAATTGCTTCCACTTTCATCGAACATCATGTTTTACATCATAAATCGCAATGACACAAGATGTTTACTTCATCGGCTTTCGGTTTGATTTTTCTAGCTAGCCATTAAAAATTCGCAAGTAATATGTGTTTGGATGTTTACTTTGTTGTGAAACAAAGTATCCGTTTAATGCCATGGTACTTCAATGACTGAGCTACGGACGCGAAATAATATTCATTTTATCTGGTGTGAATAGAAAAAAATCTAGCGTGATAAAATTATAGTTTGATAAACAATACACTTCATCATGCATTTTTTTGACGTTACAAAAATTTGCACGAGCCAGAACATTCATTTGTTTTTATATAAGAATTTCCGGTTGAGATATTTTTCACGTGATAAATATATCGAAAAAATTTATTGACTTATTTGACATTTTTATTATTGCCTATCGGGAACGTTATAATTATTGTGTAGTAGTATTGAAACATTTTAATGTATGTATCTTTTACAATTAATTCATACCTATTATATCATCACGTGATAATTAGTATAAAGAAATATAATCCAAGAACGATATGAGTTAAACATAGCCGCATTTAGTATTATCAGTCGAACTTTGTTCCCAGTGTACGATAAAAAAAGTTGTAAGAGATAAAGTTAGAAATCCAAAATACAAGTCTAGCTGTTTAGAAATAAAAATCTTATTGAATGATTCTATCAGTACTTCATGAATTATTTGACAGGCGCTTTACGACGTTGAGCTAAGCTATTGATAACGTGACAGCAATCAATTCGCAATTCTTTCTGAAAAAGTATCTTGTCGTTAAATGTTTTCTATTTACTTTGACATAAGTAAAATAAGAATGTGACATGTACGAGGATGGAACGAACAGACTGGGGTCGCCAGTAAAAAAATCCCGTCATCTGCATATTCACGTCCTCGGGGCAAACCTACTTCCTTTTCTTTAAACTCTCCTTTCAAGAGATAGACAGGGTGAATGGAGTTTATAGGAAGATGGGACTTTCCCGCCGTGGTAAATAACGTTTCTCCTATCGGCGGTTCTGATTCAATGCTCGAACGGATGCTTTCTCAGGTTGTCGACGTCTCTGATGTTTTTCATCCCCGAATTTTTCCACGAGCTTTATATATGTTCCCTCTCTGCCTGCCCATGAGCTTTTGGTTTGAAATACTGTCACCCGCCAGTGTTTCATTTGATGTTTTCACGATCGAATATTTCCCTTCAATGCTGTTTGACTTTTTTCTTTATTACACGAGTAATGCGGAGTTACTTTAGAACGCGGAAGTAGAAATTTTATGTAGCTCAGTATCCATTTTACGTTTATCACTCAAGGCAAAAACAATCGATATCTGCGAATCATTGCATTTTTGCTTCGATTTAACTGCACTGCAGTCGTCATTATCGTAATTTTCACCAAACAAAAATTTTTACATTAACTTATCAAACTCAAATCATCATTTTTACACGAACTCATGAAATACTACACACGTGACTTTCTCCATTTGAAACTTGGAGGCTAATTGGATTCTTATTAGCCGAAATCTAACTTCAACCCGATGATTTCGCAGACAACCAAAAGCCGAATGGACAACACGTCTGGGTAGCATCAGATTGACAAGTAGTTCACCATGGCAGCAAGAACGTCACGTGGTTGGTATGGTCAAATCACCAGTCGAAGGTAGTAGTGTGGTGATGTTGAAACTCGACCGACCTGTGGGTCCTTATTCGGATTTCGTCAGACCTGTGTGTCTACCACCTGCTGGAGCTACCAATCTTATTGCCAATGCAACGCAATGTAACACACTTGGCTGGGCTAAGAATCGTAAGTATATATTTTGTTTTGAAATGTAAATCAATCGTCATCGATTATCACCAGATAAAACCTACGCATCTCTTTGTATCCGACTATTTCCTTCTTTAAAATCCATTACGTACAAACGATGAAAAAAATTAACATGTTAAAATTAGCATCAACACACTTATTCAGATTTACATTCATGATTGCGTAAAGGCAACTAGCACTTTACGCAACAGATCAAATGACTATCAACCAACACGAAAGTTACTTGTTGTCTCTATTCCGTTCATAGGTGACGTCTTACAACGAGTGCAGTTGAAGTACAACGCGATGGCCAAGTGCGAAAATGTGAGCATCGCCTCAGTAAATAGCGTTTGCACCGAAGCCGTCAATAGTGATGACTGTACCGTAAGTAAAATCAGTTATTCTTACCTACAGAAAAGCGTTAATCATATCGTGAATCATTAATAAATAACGAGGAACTACTTACTCTAAAGCTTTATAGAAACATGCAAAAACTTTACGATTATTTAGCATTCTAAAGGATTTTTAATTCAGTCGTTTTAATATTTTATAAAGAATTCGAGGTAACTTTGAAACTTTCAAGTAAGTTTCGCAAACTTTGAAAATTCTTAACCTATTCAGTGTGATTTATAAATAATATTTAAGTTGAAATGATTTTCCAACTTCTGATGTTTTTAAGTCTATTTTTGATTGCTTTTAAAATATACAATAAAAAAAATTATACGCATAGCAATATATCTAAATGAACGACTTAATTCTTTGTTAAGTTTTTAACAATTTTGGAGATTTAAGGTTTTAAAAATTGAGCTTCGGTTGCATATGTCACTTTTATGAAATATCATATTTTATAAAATATTTAAAAATATTATGAATTTTGGCAAAAAAATTAAATTCGTAACAGTATTTCAATAACACTTTTAAGTAAGTGATACACTTCGGGTTCAATGCTAAAATTCAACACTTCAAGCATAAAATTTTATATTATGATATTTCGGCATGTCGTATTAATTTACAAACTGGTTAACTTTTAATTCAATTGACCCATATACCTGTGTTATTGTATGTGCAGGAGGAGGAGGTGGCAGGTAGTCCTTTGTTATGTCTGTTGCCCGACAGACGCAGGTGGGCAGTGCTCGGAGTCGCCAGCTGGCGCATCGCTTGCGGTAGCAACCCCACGGGCATCGAGCGACCAAGACTCTACGATCAGGTCACGTCCAATCTCGATTGGATTCAATCTACCATAAACTTAGCTTAAGTATGTTTGGACGAATGTGTGTTGAAGAATGATCATTTATTGTCAATTCTTTTAATTTAAATATCACGTGAGATTGAATGCTTTCTTTATGTTATTTGTGTTACTTTTACCCGGGTATGAAAAGTTTTTGCGCAAAGATTTGATTGTCCGATGAAAGATTATCTTATACATATATATATTCTATGTCAGTTTAATGTTTGAGAAATAAGAAATATATTTTATTGAACTGAATTTTATACATTAAAAATCAGATAGTTTTTTAAGCTACTGTTGTACGTTAATTTTAGGTGAAAGACTTACCTGCGCTTACTAAATGACATTTCTATTCAGTGAAATTACTGTGTATAATTACATGTAGATTTGTAAGTACTTTTTAATAATATTTTGTATAATCAATCGACAATGTATTTATAGAAGAATTGTATATTAAAAAATCGTATATTAAATATTAAATATAAAATATGTATTATATAATATATTAAATTTTACATTGAATTCAATTTTTACAATATTTTAACTGATGTTACATCATTTTTAATTGTAATTTATGTAATTGTAATTCTATATACATCGTTAGTATTCAGAGAGAATATGTATAAAACTAGTGTCATAATTCGGCTTAGAAATGTGAAAATGTGTAAAGTTTCTCACTATCTAAATATACATCACATCTCTTTGATAACTGTAGAATAGTGATATTTTTTAATTGGTTGTTATGTAAAATAAAAACTCGTTGTTGGAAATGTATTTTGAACTTTTTTCGTTAAGTTTACCGCTAAGTGAATTTAAAGTTAAAGAAATTGTACTGAAAGTGTATTCAAGATTACAAATGTTATTGTGATTAATTAGTGTTCATAAGAAAAAAATGAAGATTATGTAGTTGGATTATTATTTTTGATCGCACGGCAAAGTTCGTTCCGAAAATAAATCAAACTCAATTGTTATCCAAAGATTAATTTCACGCTTAAATACAGTGTCAAAAGTATTACAAACTCTATCTGGAATTCCAACTAACTGGCTCAAATTTAATTTACATTGTAAAGAAAGTTATGAAACATAATCTAAGAATTGGCGTCGTGCAAACTGCATTCCAATTAAAAATTCACAAGCGTAACCGATGCCGTTATTATGAAAGTGGTGTACGCTTTGGCAAGAGTTTCCCTGCAAAAGCAGCATTATATCTTTGAAGCACTAGTAGCAGCAGCGGTGCGCGGCTTCAGGATAAAATACGAATAAAGTTTGTCGCGCGAAGGGGCCGAGGCAAGGGGTAAAATTTAAATTCACCGCGCCTGCTCGCGACTCTCTCAATCGATTTGGGCCGCGGTTTGCGCATCCTCAAAAGGTAAAGTTTGTTTTCCTAGGCAACCTCCTCCTATGTTCTTGTTAATGCTGCCCCATTGTTACTTCGAGTCGAGCATTTAGTTCAGTTCGCCTTGTTAATATTTATTCAGGATGGAGAGACTGATGGGAGCGAAAACGTTGTTATCGTTGTGGTAGATTTACTGTCTTTTGCCAAGGGTTTGTGCAGAATATAGTTGATATTGTAAATATACACTGTAAGGTAATGTAGAGTGAGAAAAAAAGAATTTCTTTTAAATTCGTTTTTTTTTAATCAAAAATGTCTATATCATACGTACCAATTTTAAACACTCATTTGGTTTACAATGTTTAAACCAATAACCTTCAACTTTTAATCCATCGGATCTTTTTTTCTATTTACAATTTTATATTCTCAACAACTTTACCTTTATCCAATAAGTTTTAATGGAACGAAAAGTTTTTTATAGGGTAAAAAAAATTACAGCCGATGCGTTAGTTTGTTATAAAATTTCAGCGTGGGATGTGATAAAAGCATACATCAGGCCGCAATTCTATTATAATTCACAAACTTTCTAAAAAGGTTTTTAATCTATATAGTACATACAAATTATTTATTTATTTATTTTAGCTACACGAGATGCACATGAACTTCATTCAAATGCGATTCTCTTTCGGAAAGTTTTCTTCTGGTATTAATTTTCTTTATAATTGGTAACGCGATTGAAAAAATTCTTAAATGTCGTTAAATTCTTTATTTATGCAATTTTAGAAAGAAACTTCGTCTTTGAATAAATATTTTCTGGATTCGAGAATATTACTAAAAGAAATATAAATTGAAAAAATGCTTTATTACTGCGAATTCAAACATCTTCCAAATTTTCGCTAGGGCAAATGTATCTTATGTCCGGTTACAACGACAGTGCTCAATTACCTAAAGCACAAATTTTCTAAACAATATTTCCCGTATCAATAGCACATTACACCTTTATCAACATTAACGTTTAAACATTTGTCCCCAAAATAAAACGGGAGTTTTGTACCACACGCAGGTGTGCAAATGTCAGCAGGCAAACCGACGACCATTAAAGACGCGATAAAACGTTGGGAAGATGAAACACACTCCGAAGCAGCAACTGCCATCGAAGTAAACTTAAGTTTCCAATGGCCACCGATCGAGAAAATGGATAGCTCGCTTGCTGTTCTCACATTGTGTGAAAAATTATCTTTATCTACCAACATGATCGAGAAAATGTCAGGTACAGTCTGAATATATATTCTAACAGTCGGAATAAACGTCGATGATGTACAAGTTTGAAGAGAAAAACGTCCTTATTAATCATTCCACTTGAGAGATTGAATCAATATCGAGAGAATATTTATTTGCTTTTTGGCGCGTATGGAAATCAGTAAATACGCTAACTACAGTTAATAAACTTTCATCGAAGAATCGCAATAACTGAATTCAACGTACTATTGACAAATATACGTATATTATTTTCCTCGAAAATAATTTTCGTTCACGCTTGAAATGAAAGCATTGAGGTTCCAATCTTTTTATCTCGTATGAAAAATAGCATATCCTTACACAATGAATTGCCAGAGAAGCAAGGAAAAAGAACTCGTCGCGAGAAATCTCAAAGGAAGGCCGTATGCTTTGATAATCTCTCTCGCTCATGCTAGGGGATATACATGGCAAATAATATAAGCAACAGCATCGGATTTCAGTTTGCATATCTATCGCGGAGAGTACAAGGTCACTTCGGGAAATTAAAACTGCATTTGAGAGAACTCACCTGAGAAAAATCGACAAATCCGTATATAACGGTACCTTTTTTTAATCAGATTGGGATTAACATTGACATTCGATTTAATATCGAATAACTTTTTTCTTTTCTTCGTGGATATACACGCAGGTATTGGCAGCTTGAAAAGGCTACGTATTTTATCATTGAGCCGTAACGCAATAAAAAGCTTTGTTGGCCTGGAGACTCTGGGTGATACGCTAGAGGAATTATGGATCTCGTACAATGCTATCGAGAAGATGAAGAGTGTAAACGCATTGAGAAATCTGAAGGTGCTCTATATGTCCAACAATTTGGTAAAAGAGTGGAATGAATTTATGAGACTGCAAGATATGCCGAATTTGCAGGATTTGTTATTTGCTGGCAATCCTATCACTGAAGGATTAGAGGTGAATGTTGTTTTTATTAAAAAATTATTTAGTTAAAAAATATTGCAGTCTGAAAAGTTTCAATTTTCCGAAAATAGCCATATAAAAAATAAAACTTTCTGCTTTGTATTTCGCTCTTAATAGGTCATTCGTTTAAATCAATCAAAAAAATAAATAAGCAAAACTCTCTTGCATTTTTTATGAAAATTTTTTATTAGAAGTGAAAAAATATTTCTTAAAATTATTTTTTCAAAGGCTGAACATCTCGATCTAATATATAGTTCGCAGAATGAGCAAACCTCATTGATATGTGATTCCAAGTATATATTGAATGACTATATTCGAATAAAAATCAAACTTCGTAGAGTCGTATTTAATGGAACTAATCGTTATATCTCTATAATCGTAAAAAGATGAAGACGTCGAGTATTGTCCACTCGAATGCAACAAGTTTGGCAGCAGTCAATGAAAGTACATCGCACAATAAAGCTATTCTCGTAAATCATGGTAAAATCAAAGGAATGTTCTCTGAATATAATGTCCAATTTTTTTTTTAAGAATACTTGTTTTATTAATTGTACATAACAACGCCGGTAGCCCAATTTTTTCATAGAATGGATTGGAAAATAAAAGTACTTTCTTGTTGTTTCGCAGACAGAACACTGGCGATTAGAAGTATCGAGGCGACTGCCAAGCTTGGAAAAACTCGACGGGGAACCACTCGTACATATGAGCGTCGAGGAATTGGCGATGCAACAACAGCAAGCGCAAACTACGCCGAAATCACCGGATGCTCAGGCTGTTCAATAACTTTTCGTCGTCGCGACTACTTTTTTTTGGCACGTGAAAAGATCGTTTTTTTCGTAGTCGAGCTTTTTTTCAAGTTACTCGAGTGTGAACGTTGAGATTTTGAACGAGTGGATGTACCAAATAAAAGAGATAAGGGTTGCTGAAGCGTTTTCAATAGCGTTTTTTCTCCTTATCTGAGACTCTTAAATAAACTCTATTTTTTCATTTTCCTTTCAATCGCTAAAATATATTTTCGTAAAATAAGCATTTCCCGTAATTAATTATCGAAATACTTGTCTTACAAGAAACGATAAAGAAAAAAATTGACAGCTATTACTCGACTCTGCGATAATAAGCATTAAACTAATAGGATAAAAAGCTCAGCTATGATCTTTCAAGGAAGTCAATTAAAGCTACCGTCGGGAGGTCTTATCGATACATAGGAAAAATAGGAAGAAATTTGACACTCACGGCAAATCCCTTGACCTACCGGTTACCTGCTGCATAAGACCTAGAATTTACGTTGAACGAACGTTGAACTCCAAGTGTTTTTCTTTTTTTAATGCAACATCAACGTGTAAATCAACATTGTGAAATCAGAGCTTGTTGACCTAGATTTTGGAATTGTTCACCGCAGGACTCACCCGGCATTCTTGGAATCCAGTCTCAAGTGAACATTCGCGTCTAGGGTTCTATTTGCTCCTTGAGATATTCCGGGGTTGGCATGTCATTTACGACTGGGGAGCTTGCGGTGCTTGCTTCTATTATTTCAAATGAAAATTCAAAGTTTTATCGGAACACTCGAATCTCTCTTTGTATTTCAATAGTTTTCACTATCGAGAATGATTTATGCGTAGTATATATTATTTATTATTACTATTTTTAAAATATTAATTCACTTGCATTATTTACCCGCTATAACTGATGTACATAAACATTCGTTTTGTTTGCTACGAAACTCCAATAAAGCGTAAACTATTTGATTCTTTGAAAGCGGTATATGACCAAAATCGATCGTAACTATCCACTTTTGTATGAATTAACGGAGGAGAAGCAGTTGCATACATACCTATAAATGGGTCGCCGCTGGCGGCCTTGAGAGATTAGCAAGCTGCGCCAGTATGGGCGGCTAGTGCTGCGTCGCGCGACCACATTACGCGTCTATACAGCACGCGAGTCAAGTCGTGCATTGTTCTCGACAGGTAAACATCGCAGACATTGCCCGAGACACTTGCATTCCTCTTTTTTCATCGTTAATATTGCTGATAGGTTTTGGTCTTGTTTATAGAGGTAAGTGATTGATTTGTTCTTTGTAATGCGAGGAAGCTTTTTCTTCGGTCAGTTTTCCATGGTAATGAAAGCTTTTGATTATGTCTATGTTTATTAAATTGTAATTGTAAAATCGTAAATAATTACAATTTTATGAGTGATTGATAAGAGAGAACTACCTATTATACGCCACAAAGAATATTTTTTATAATTGTATTGCATTTTGAATCATTATCATTTTTAATTGAATAAAATAGAAGCAAAAATTCTTTATTTTAAGAAGATATCTTACTTTCATAGAGATATATAGTTACCAAGTAGTAGCTTTCTTCAATTATAATCTATTAAAGAAATAATAATGATAATATTAATAACAATAATAATTTCTTATTTGAAGAGCACTTTAAGGTCACTTCATTTTCGTATAGTTGCATTGTTTCTCCTTTATGCTACATCCCATTACAAAGAAAATATTTTCTAATTTTAATTTGATATGCTGGCGATTACATCTTTAAAAGTTTGAAATTACGTAAGAGCCTCAATCAATCTATTAAGTACACCCGTACTTGGATAATGCTTAATTTCTACCCGACTTCTAAGTTTATTTACAATTCTAGGGCAGAATTATGTTTATTTTGTAAAACTCAAAAAAAGAGCGAATTGCGTTAAATCTAGAGTCTACTAATCAATTTAAAGTAATATAGAGAAAAACAAATAAATATAATTCATGTAGATTTCTTCATTGTTCTATAAAACGATGAACTCTTGAAATCAATTCAGAAATATTCGTCAAGTATATATACGCAGACTTAACATTGGCAATTCGTTATTGCTAATAAAATCGACTCATCGACAGAAGCAAGTTTGCTGATTTATTACGAAACTCACCAGAGGTGATGTCCTTAACAATTATGTAAAGCATTTTTATGTTGTTACGACTAATATTTCTTATATAATGATCTTTTTTTCCATTGGAAAATTTGCTTTTCTAATTTTGCACATGCTAACTTGTTGTAAATTAAGAAAATAATATTCAACTGATTGTAATTTTCAACGTGTAAAATAAATACTCGTTCTGATATCAAACTTCTATAGTAATTGCTCTATTACATGATTATTTCGACATTGTTATAACTTGACGTTGAAAAATTTCAACTAATATCAACGTGACATTCGTTTAAGCATTCATCTGAAAATTCATTCCAAAATTTTCCAATGGCATGATTTTTAAGTTCACCATTTCGAAGTGATTAATAATAAATTTATTTAAATGAATAGATGTAAAACTAGACAAGCTGTAAGGTGTCAAGGTTCAATTATTTTTACAGTGAGCAAACAATAATTACAGCATCAAGAAATAGATGTAACGTTTTACGTTTCATAAGCAAAGAATTGTTTGTTTATATGCTGAGATAATTAGACTGGAATAAATCGAATAACGCTTTCTAAATAAAAAAAGATTTTTGTTTAACTATTTTTCGTCAATTACTGTAATTCAAAATTTGAAACTATACTTCTTTAAAAGATGAGCATCCCTTCACAAAGTTTGTTTCTACCCGTCAATATAAAAATATCGTTTCTAATCTGTTATCATTAGGGTAAACTATGTCACCGAGAAAAAATTTATTATCACGTGAAATCACATAAAAATTATAGATAGGTAACATTGTATGTCGGACGCATGCAATTACAAAATTGTATAGATATGGAATTACAGGTGATGCTTTATAATGAGAATGTAAAAGTTGACGCAATGATTTTCCACGTGGAAAAAGAGAACCGCAACTAACATTAACTAATATTAAAACGATATCCGATGTCTCTATAACTTGGATTCGTTACGAATCGATCGTCACCGACAAGATGAGCCGTGGATTATCAATTACCTCGATATTCAGTGTAGCGCAATACAATTTCATCCTCTCTCTTACTTTGGCATTTCTCTTGATATGAGTGTAATGATAAATTTCTTTAGTTTTTTAATGCACAAGTGCGACATAATCTTGCGGTAGATATGGTCATATTGTTTGAAATTGACATGTCGGAAGAATTAATTTAGTTTTTTTATAAACATTATCAAAAAGAAAATTACGGTATTGAGGATTTTAATATCTTTGTGCTTTCTGAGTTCATGTTGTTCGATTATAAACTTTACTATCAATTATACACTCATTTGACACTTTTTTTTATATTTGTTATATCAATCAATTTCCAGTTGGAGTAATTTAATGGGAAAAAATTGTAAATTTTTCTCCCCTGCAAATACAGATTAATAAATTTTTTATGTTACTATAAAATATTAATTTCCACTACATTTATCTGTCTGCTATTGCAAATGAATAATTTCTTTCAAATTCAAAAAACATTGACATGCCCTGAAAAGAAAACTTTATCTTCTCTGAAAATACTTTACTATAAAAATCAGAACCACAAGCTTTCTTTCCGTTCATTTCTTGTTTTAGCTAAATGAAAATTGTTTGAAATGGCATTTGACAATATTATAGGATTTTGATATTACGACACTTCTATTTGCATTTATTTGCAATACATAAATTCTCAAAGGTAATACATTGTAACGGAATAATAATTGTCCGTTATTAATCTTCGAAATATATCATGTTTTCACATCGACAAATTTAATTTAAATACTTACACTATTACATATAATAACTGAAACTTCCAATTTCAATTACAATTATAAATGAATAATGTAAAACTCGGACACTTTATTCAAAGACACGGTAAAAAAAAAACTTTCTAGATTGAATGCATTAATACAGACATTTTTCCATTCAAAATAAATTTCAAGACAATTTTTCCATAGAGATTTATAAGACAAAATTTTTTGCCACGTCTTTTTTTCAAGAAGTTTCTCATCAACTCGCATGAAATAAATGAAAAGAATCTTTCATCCGTCCAAAAGAAAATTAAAAAAGTTATATATTCAGCTCGACATTTCCTAAAGCGCTTACGTACCTTTAGGGCTTTCCCGCGAATATATGCCTATATATACACTCACAGGTCAAAGCCGTACCTTCTCTCTCTTTACTTCCAGGAAGACATAAAGCTGCAATTCTCTCTCACTAACGCTGGCAAAAAATGTCATATAGGGTTAGTTTGCTACGATACGTGGTCGGCGAATGAGACTCTCCACGAAGCTTTTCCAACCAAGTTTGCAAAATATTTTATGAGTGGGTTAGGACATTACTGCGATGTTGGTTTAGCTTTTGTTTGCGTGCGATTGATTTTTTCTTAGAAGCCTCGCTTGCAAGTAGTTCTGGCTCGATATTGTAGTGCTCAATGAGAAACTCGTACGTATCGAATATGGAATTTTAACTAGTAAAATTTTGTCAACCCTGTAAGTAAAGTAATACCGAAGGGATAAACTTTGATACGTTGATGGTTGGGATACTTCTTTTAGTGAAACAAGTTTCGCATGTTTCCAACCAACTTCGGTGCAAAAAGTACAGAAAGAGAGTTTAATAACCAGGGTTTTTACAATGCACTCGTACAAAATTTCTCTAACTTTTCAACTGTCTTTTCTCATGATAAAGAACATGAAATCTGTTAAAAGTAACTTTTTATAAATGTTACTATCAAAAGAAAAAAATTGCTAACAATACATTCACTTAATTGTAATATATTATTTATTTATGGAAATTTACTTATGTAACTATGTTACTATTAAGAAAACTACTCCAATAGTCGAATGCATTTTTAGTTTTACAAAATTGTATTTATTAAATTTCCATGGCTTTTTCCAACACTTTCTTGACTTTTCAACTCCAGGATATCAACTATAGTTATTATAACTATAATGTTATAATTGTAATATAATATAATATTATATATTATTAGTACTTAATTCATTAATTACTTATGTACTCAAAATAAATGAAAACTAATTATTTTTAGACTTTTTTTATCATCACTATCAATATCGCGTAATCAATTATTTCTCCTAGAGCAAATTTTTGTATTATGAACGATTCCGAATACATATTGTTTCCAGCGAATACGGATCAATAATTGTATCACGGAATTGGAAGCAGGACACTTTTCTCTGTTTTGTAAATTCTGGTTTTTTTTTACTCGATCGATACATTTCTTCGCTTGAATAATTGGAACACTCTCGTAACGATAACATCGAAGTAACTTTTCTCAACGGCACATTTGAAGTCTATAAATTTATTAAAGGTACCATTTATTTTACTGTAAACGATTGCATAATTAGACGCGTTATCAAAAAGCCACGACCCTTGCGTAAATTATTAATGAAATTTGCCATAACACTGCCAATTGAAAGGTGAGTGTATCGCGTTACAATTGAGTAACGCGACAGTCGATATCTCAGTTTCCGATGTGTAAAAACCCGAACGCTTTTCGAAATTTCACTTGATATATCAAACGTACGGCACGGCAGTCATCGAGGAAGAAAAAAAAATGCGATTCGTATACGTAAGAGAGCGTTGTAATGTGTTTTGCCAACTAATCAGAAGTGGGTCAAAGTCTCGCTACATGTGGCTTGTGTAACGCATTAACGGGGTTTTCGCTATATAGGCAACAAAGTAATTATGTTTTTTTTTGTGAAAATTTACATTTTATTCTCGTGAGATGATTGCAGCTTAAATTTAATGTTCGCGCCCATGGCTTGTGAAAACAAAATATAAATAAAAAAGGACAACTACGCTATAATTTCCTAACTATACTTGGCAGTTTGATATTCTTGACATGCGTCAATGACAGTTCGACATTTTTCATTTTCACAGCATCGTTTCTTCGCTACAACTGCGATGAATAATACAATGAACTACGCGTTGAACAATTCACCGAGTGAAGAATTCTCGGATCTGTGCTACATCGATCTCAAGTCGGACGATCCTTACGATTTGTTCAACGATTGGTACAAGGAAGCTTGTAAATTTTCAACTGGTTTACCAGCAGCGCTCTGCTTGGCTACTGTATCCAAGTAAGTTTTTAGGAGAAAATAAAAGACTCGTCAATGAAATTAATCGATGTTTTCTTTCCGTTTTGAAAGAGATTTGAAAGTAAGTGCGAGACACGTGGTATTGAGAAGAATAGAGGAAGATGGTTTCGTCGTTTACACGGATAATCGCAGTAGGAAAGCCAAGGAATTGGTGAGTTTCACTTCAGTTGATCCATTTAAATAAAGTACAGTGAATGGAAGATCTATTGGGACGGAGGCTCTTGACAATCAAATTCAAATGAACAGAAATGCGCAAACATATTGACTCTCTGAATAGCCAAATTGAAATGTAAAACATTTTTAAAAAAAAGCGATGTAACAATGTTGTCTTAGTTGAGGCTATACTAGATCGGTGGAGATTTCGTAGGTGGAATTCACGTATTGCCTTCACCGATCGAGCACAGCTTCAACTAAGATAAAACTACGGCAGGCGAAAAAACATTGATCAAAGAAATAACGATTTTGTGGCGTAAAACATTGTTTACTTCTAGACTGAAAATCCAGCGGCTGCCATGTGTTTCTTGTGGGCTTACGTGAACGATAAGAATCAACGAATCGCTCGACAAGTAAGATCTTGCGCTTGTTAAGAAAAAGCACAGCCAAGCGTAATGCAAAAACTCATTGCAGGTGCGAATAGAAGGCGACGTCGTCGTAGCAGACAAAGAGTCCATCGCTAAACTGTACGAGAAGGACAAGTTGTTCGCTAAGATTCGATCTTACATCTGCCCGCAAGATCAGGAAGTCGATTGGGGCGAGTTGAAGGCCAAGCACGATAAACTCCTCAACGAAGTTCGACTCAACAAGAAAAGCCTTCCGATGCCCGATCACTAGTAAGTATTCAAAGCCTCCCAAATGTTTTAACAGAAACCGTTCCGAATTTCGTATTTGCTTCAGTGTCGGCTACAAACTCGTGCCAACAGCCATCGAATTTTACTACGCCAGGGACACTTTGATAGGCGATCGAATTCTATTCGAGCGAGACAGTCCGTCGTCAAGCTGGATGCACAAGAGAATCGCAGCCTGAACGACTTGCAGAAAAAAAAGAACAACGTGTTCACAAGATCATTGATTCAGCTAATCTGTCTTCTCATTGTCTAATATATTGCTCTTATTGCTCGTTGGCTTTTTTTTTGTATTATGACTAAACACATAATTATTATTACGTGTATTTTTATCCGTTTCTATATACAATATTTTTTCTATCCAAACACTATACGCCACTATGTATTCATTTTGATAGTACTTAATTTACTAGTTCATGGAACAACATTAATAAAAATATAGTATTTATAGAAATTATATTTAGTCTTATTTTTAGGACATACGATGTGCATTTCGCAGTTTTTACAAACGCGAATATTTTGTCCATTGTAGAAAATTTTAGTTGTATCCATCTCTTCTACAACTGAGCTAGATAAAGACACCTGATCAAGTTCAGAAAATAAATATATGAGAAAAATGTTGACTATGAGACCATTATATTGAACGTTCTCGCAATAAAAAGGATGCTTGAACATTAGAAGCAAAGGAAAGCTGAGCATGCATTACTACGAGTATCGAAAGGAATCAATAAATAAATAAAATAAGTAATAGAAAAAGCTCGTCGGCCGGGCCAATTGTAATGCGTACATAACTAGAGCAAAAGCACTCGTGTGTCGTACTCCCGGAGTATTGGCAATCGATACTCCCATAAAAGCATAAGCGGACACAGAGGGGGCAAAAAGCAACACAGCCATAAATACAATAATATATGTACCTGCGTATACTCGAATCTTAATTTCATTGCGTGACGCGACAATGTTATAGAGGTCAATCGAGAGAGCGACGCAGGCAATATACGGGAAACTGTGTTATCTCTCTTTTGGTGGATCGCGCGCGTCATTGTCGTTTCACGTGTGCATTGCGCGAAACAATGTACACATAGAGGCGCGTGCCACCCACTAATTGACATGCATTCGGGTCGCGCGCCTCCCGCAGTAGGCCTTTTCTCGACCGAATTCCCTCGGTGATGTCCATGGGTGCAGGCAAACGTTAATCATCTTTTTTGGATTTAAACTTTGCCGCATGGTCTGGGAGAGCGGCGGGGGGGGGGGGGGGTACGTCGCTTGTTATTGCGCCTTACAAGTGCGACTATAAGCACTCATTTTAAATAACAAATTATTTGGAATGAGTAATTTTATTGATTTTTTATTTTGAGTATTCAAGTGAAAATATGTAGTAAAAGAAGCGATGCGCGCCTATAAAGGCAATTTTCACACTGTAAAATACGATTGCTATACTCTACTGTAATATAAATGTTACGTGAAATCTATGCTTCGCGTGTACCTGCGAATGCAGTGAATTTATACGTTCCTCGAGCATCGATCGACTATTTACAAAGTTCAGGAAACAGAGAGCGATGACCGAATTCTTCTGCAAGAGAGACACCGTCAAGATGAATAATAGAGAAATTTGAAAAAGACGTCTTCACGGCTCGTTCTTGTGTGCTTATTTTAAGCATCTGTAGCACCTGTTCTCTCTTGTTTCTTTTTGACGTACTGTACCTGCATGCGAATTCTTGAAATTTTCGAAAAGAAATTCGTTCGCTTTCAACGATTTCACCTTCGTAGTCCGGTCAGTTGTGGATAAACCGTAAGATGGCTTTTGAACTGAAACTGAAACCAGAGAATTATTCAAAGCCGCGCGCAATTACACGCGTGTTCTAAAGATTTCCATTTTCGATATGATTTGAGGAAAATAATTTCCTCGGGTCGGAGCAGTACTCAATCCTATGATTTGGTGAATTACGAAAGGAAAATCGCGCTTCTAGTATTGCAGATCGTGCGCCCAATTTTCTACGCTTTCAAGATTTACGAACAATAAATTGCCCGCACATATTCACGAGCGTTCTAGCGTAAAGCCGGTAAAATATTGAGAAAACATGCTTCGATTTAAAAGCAGTGGATTAAGAAATAAGGTGAGACCCAGCACCTCTAGCCCGCACGCGTTACCGCGCCGCAACGATCAAGCAGCTTCAAGAATTTTCGCGTGAGTGTCGCAGAAAGCCGGCGCTTCGGGTATAGACGCGAAATGAACCCTCGCGCGGACGGCCTTTTGCGATCCCACGCGGCAGCGAGGGCTGCCAAACTTCACAGTGTTCGATGTGCGACGCGCGCGTGTCTTCGCCTCTCTTTCCTCCGACCGCACTCAAAATTCAAGGCACTTTTTCTCCGCGCGCTGGCCGTCGACGATTTCGAGACTAAACAAAATAACCAATTTTGCGTGCCCTTTGCTGCTGCGCTATCGACGCTGTTGCGGGGATCGGACGATTTATGGCTTCGGCCGGATTACACTTAATCGCGCGTGAATTGTGATTATTATTTTCAAACAAACTTCAAAATGCCGTACATTTATTCAGATTCAGCTGCACGATAGACAGTAATTACTCAAAACATATCAACGTAATGACATGTCAAATTAATGATTATCTTGTACATGCGATATGCTTCAAAGAGAAAGGAGCGGAGCGAGGCTTTGACGGCATTGCTACATTAATGAACTTTTCAATCGTATTTCAAAATTGCTCGATGAAAGAAATATGTAAATAAATAATTACATTATTTTCTCAATCAAATATCTAATAATAACTGGCAATGATAAATTCAATTAATATTCAGTTTCAAAATTGCCATACTGAAATTTCATTGTAAGCCCGCATTTGCAATTATATGTGGCGTAGATTCATGATAAGTATATCTGAAAAAAGCTTTATCTATTGTCATTTCATTGCATCACATTAAAAATCATCAAGAGGGCAATGACATAACTAAACAACCAAGTTTAGAGTGTCGCATACACACGCATGACTCATCAATTTAATCTCCATCGTGAATTAAAAAAAAAAATGTCGATTCCAACGTCGATGCCCAAAAAGGTCGAGTGTGCTGGCTCTGTTATTGACAATCGTTACCGATAATCTTTTGTCTTGGATCAAATTAGTATATGCATATATATACTCTGTCTGCAACTATGCTTAATCAGTCGAGTAAATATTACTGCCCATGAATAAATCACAAACGCACTTGTGTCCCAACTGCGAAAATAAGAAAAAAATTTTCATTGTCAAATTAGCCATTCAAATGAAAGAACGAAAAAAATTTCACACTCATATGCATTATGTACCGAATGTATATATGTACATATCACGTGACACACAACTCGACACACACATGAACGTAGAGGCAGACACACACACAAACAAGAAGGCGCGTGCGCGTATCGCGCTCGCGGTTTAAAGTCCAGCCGTCGAAAAATTATCGCCGGCCCCAAATCCGCCAGACGTCTGCGCACACACTTGCTACACTATAGTCGTGTAGGTGTGAGAGAGCAGCGAGAGAGAGAGAGAGAGAGAGAGAGAAGCGAGACGAGACTGCGAGAGTGCGGCGCAGTCTCGAGCGTTTTGTTTTGAGACGCCCCCGTCTCGTCGCCTGCCTACCGTCTACTCGCGGAAAAGGGCGTCTGGCCTGGCTGCTGCTGCTGCTGCTCTGCTGCTTTTTTGCGGTCTGCGTCTTATCGATTGTTCGCAGAGAGAGAGAGAGAGAGAGAGAACGAGAAAGAGAGAGATAGACGTACTGAGCGGCAAGACATGACTTATTGCTCTCGCAGCGTGTAAGCTTTCTAAGCAACTTTAAGTTAAGATCGAGTGATGATTTCCGTTTGTGTGTGTTACAGAGTGTGCAGTGCGAAATGAGTTGAGTTTACGAGAAAAATCCAAGTGCCCAGCAAGCCAGACAGCCGAAGAGAGAGGTGAGTGTGTAAAATACACCAAGTGACCCTATTTTATGTATTATTCGCAGCATGTGCGAGGTTAGAATAATGAGAAATTGATGATTAACATTGTGTGTTTTTTTTTAGGTGAATATTCAACCTAATGGCTTAAAACGAATAGTTGTTTGTGGGAACAGTATGAAGTTTATCTTAGTCATCCTGGTAGTCTGCAGTGCAGGCTTGGTGGCTGCTGACAAGATATGCGCTGTCAGGAATAGAGATATCCAAAGTCAGTCCAATGCTGATGCTGATGGCATTGAAGATTCTTTCAACATCAATAATCACAATCAGGTAAAAATTTTAAAAATAGAATTTTAAAGTGGTTCTGACTATTTAATAAGTATTTTGTCTGTGTTTGCAGACTAACAATGATGTCAAATTCGAGAAGTGTAACGATTATTGCTATGCCTTCTGGAGAGAAGAGAACACGTCAAATGGAACTATAATTAATATTTTTTCTCAAGGTAGGTTTATCTAATTGAGTATTTGTTGAGATTTGCTTATTCATGATCTTACTTATTACAGGATGCTGGAATCAAGGTGGTCATGATTGTGAGAATCCAGAATGCATAGGTAATCGTTGGACTAAAGCTTTGACTAATGGCAAGTTTTGCTGTTGCAAAGGAGATTATTGCAATGTTAATGTTACCGATCCCTATGAGAATAAATTACTATTAACCAGTCCAGCAAGTAAGAGTAATTTAAGTGTGATTGTTACAGGTATATTTTATTTGTTATTTTTTAGTTTAATTTCTTTGAGAGAGTTTTTATTTATTTGTTTGAGTTGACATTATTTACATTTTGTTATATGTGTTATATATTTTTTTTGTTTGTATATTGTACTTATTACGTTTTAACATCTGATGATAAATTTGTTGTTTTTAAATTTAAATTCTCTCATATTTTACTTCATTTCTTTCAATGTCAGTAGTTATTAATTGTATTGTTTTTGTTTCATACAGCGACAGAATACCTAGAACAGCCAGATTCTGAACATTTAATGCTCATAATAGTAACTACCTTAGCATGCATTCTACTAATTACACTGACGGTAGGAGTTTTAATCTACATTATGTACAAGAATAATCTTATGATGAGACTGGGCAAATCTTTGCCCTATGATGACAACTACAATGAGGGTAATGGGCTTAAAACTGGTACTTACACTTTTGATCATTTGAAACTTTCAACAATCGTCGGTAAGTATTCCAATTTCGTTTTATTTTTACTTTTTTCAATCAAAAGTAATATTGAATATATAATTTGAATTTTTAGGGGAAGGAAGATATGGTTCAGTATGGCAAGGTAGCATGGGTGATCAAGAGGTAGCTGTGAAAATTTTCCCAGGTCATTATCAGAGTTATTTTATGAACGAACGAGACATCTACAGGTTGCCTTTTATGGAACATTCATCACTACTACATTATTACGGTATTTTACTAGTCGTTTATAACATCAATGAAATGTTTGCAAGTTATTCATTAAATTTCTTTCCATAGGATCTGACGAAAGAGTAAGTATGGACGGCAATACGGAATATCTCTTAGTATTCTCCTACGCGCCAGGTGGTACGTTAACAGATTTTCTACGCTACCACACATTCGATTGGATGGCTTTCTCTAAAATGGGGTTATCGATAGTCAAAGGGCTTGCTTACTTACACACGGATTACCGCAAAGGAGGTGAATGAAAATTAAAACTTAAACTAAGAAAAATAGTGAAATTCAGTGTTAATTCATGAATTTTTTATTACAGATAAATTTAAGCCTTGTGTGGCTCACAGAGATATGAATTCGAGTAACATTTTAATCAAGGCTGACGGTACCTGCTGTATTTGCGATCTTGGACTCGCGGTACAAATTTCAGGATCTAAGTATTTTTCCAACGGAGAGGAGCAGCATGCCGAAACTAAATCGATCAACGATGTGCGTTGACTTACGATTATTTATTTTTATGTTGCTGATTGGCTAATTTTTTTCGCATTCTTATGCGTGAGTGTTGTAATATTTCAAAGTTCGTTGACGACGAGAAAAAACTGATTTTTCTTGCATCATCAATGTGTTGAACGTCACGACGAAATTTACACGAAAATGATTACGTTATTTTCTATCTAATTTAGAATGTGTTCACGTGATTAAAAAAAAACACGTTAAGATTATTTTAATGAAGTTTCTTTTAGTTTTTGTCTAGTTTTAATAGAGAAAATTGAATTGCAATTGTAGTTTTTCATTAGAATTTGTGAAAATGTTATCCTATTAAGTTTCATTCAACATTGTAAATCTTTATTTCGGAAAATAATAATAAATATATTTACAATCATTATTACATTTGAAAAAATGTCGAATAAATTGTTATCAAATCGCAAATGTTCTTAAAGAATACTTAGCATTTATCTTGAGATTAATCACTACACTATAATTAAATAATGATTTTATAATTACAGGTTGGTACTTTGTTGTACATGGCGCCAGAAGTACTCGAAGGTGCGGTAAATCTACGTGATTGCGAGAGCTCGTTAAAACAAATCGATGTATACGCGATGGGTTTGATACTTTGGGAGTTGGTGTCCCAATGTAGCGATATCTATGTTCCTGGTAGTGAAGTGCCGCCTTACAGACTTCCTTTCGAGAAAGAAATTGGTTAGTATTTTGTCTTATTTTATTTTTTCAAGGAGTCTTGGTTGATGAAACGAAAAATGCATCGATCTACATAAAATTATGATTATAATACTGAAATATCAGACGTGAATATTATCTAATTCATGTTATCCATTATTATATTTAAACACGATAAAAACAGTTTCAGTTGAACTATTAGTCATAACTTCCACGCGATAATTGATTTGTAAATCATTGTAAACGAAAAAAAATAATAATTTTTTACAATCTAAATTGATAAAATTTAAACTGTGTGTTGCAAACACATTTTTACATTTCGACTAACATAAAAAATATTTAACATATCTCTACGACAAGCTGATAAATGTCGAATCATTGGACACGCACGACTAAAAGCACGCAAGTCGCATTCAGTATTCATTCACATTTCTATCGGTCTGATAAATAATTAATCTCAATTCTCTTCAATGAAGTTACGTAAAGTCATGTTCGCTGTTTTTTTACTCATAGGTCTCTATCCGACGTTCGAGCAAATGCAAGTACTAGTATCCCGTAACAAAGCACGTCCCATGCTCGAAGGTAACGTTGCCGATAAGCCGGGTGTACGCTTGATTAGGGAAACTATGGAAGATTGCTGGGATTCTGATGCGGAAGCTCGCCTCACTGCGTTATGTATTGAGGAACGATTGATGGAACTTCAATCTCATCAAAGTAAGCGATTTTTAAGATCAAATGATAAAATTTAGGTGTAAAATTTGCAAAAATGGTTACGATGATTAACTTTCACGAATATTTGTTGCTTTGATAATTTTAAGGAAATTTATTAGTCATCCAAAAATTAATCGAACATTTTCAATTACAATAATTCTGTATAAATTATTTTTTTAATTTCATTTAATTCAAATAATACGATTTTTCAAGAATATACAATTATTATTTTGCATTTGATACTTAATGAATCTTGACGATAATAAATTAAAAAATCAATGCATTGATAAAAAAAATTTATTTTCAGTAACGATGTATTTCACGGACGGAAGTCCAATGATAAATTCCCATTGTGGACTTGTGCCTTCGACAACAAATAGCCTTTACAACGACGCGCCTCATCATGACGTCGCTCACCATCATCACGTTGTGCAGATGGAGAGCAAGGACGTGACCGTCGACAATTTAGTAACTTTATCCCCAGCGGAAAGCAGCTCACATGAGCATAGCGGTAAGTGTTTTTAATTAATTATAGTTCTACGCTTTTTTCGCGGGCAAAGCCGTTAAAGTAAGGTACGACGCGTTTATTGAATATGCGTGATGATTATTATTATTACACCGGGAATACATAAAATAACGTTAAATACTTTAAACTTCGATGATCATTTATCAACTAATACTAAAAAAATAAATCTTTTCGACCACTCGTTTTGATGACTATTTTGATCAGATTGACAGATGCCGTTGAGTCGTTTGATTTATTTTATATTTGAAGTGATTTGAACGTCGTGACCTCAAGTAAAAATAATAATCTAATATTTCTATTTTTCGAAATAAAATAATTCTATGTTAAAATTCTTATATTTACATCGTCAAATTCCGCATCACTAAGTTAAACATTATTGTCTGCAGAATTCAGATAATAATTCAAACTGTCACTGTTACATTCTCAAGAGTTTGATGCTTGATTCAAAATATTTTTTCAGTAATAGAATAAGACTGCGTCTTTCTCACATCCTTGCCCTCCATTATAATTCCTTTAGAAGTCTATCTTGATTCTTATTCTATTAGTTTCGGAGTTATAGTGGCTACATATAGTGCAAATTCTATTCTATCTTTCTGTAGTTTACCTGCTATTCTTTATGGAATTTTTTTGAAATTAACCTTTAGACGACCGGAATTTCAAGGAGCATATCGCCGTTAGAAAACTGGTATAAAAACTATCTTATATCATTGATTGATAATAGGCAGTGTCGATCAGGGGGTGAGCCATTATAGTGGCTTTCCGGTCCGCAAGGGAAATGCCCATGCCCGTGTTAAAAATTTCAAATTCGAAAAAATATTATTAAATAGTACATAACATTTTTTCATTATATAAATATACGTTTTCTATGTATTTTTCAATGCTAAATCTAAATATGAGGTCAAGAATACAGTAAATCTAAAAATAACTGTTAGAATAGGATAAAAACTACCGCTTTACCATGCGTGAACGATTTTGAAACACCCTCCTCTTTTGAACACGGGCTTGGGACCGACTGTGGCAAGTTTTGTTTCGTTTTTTTTTTTGTTTTATTTTATGTCTTTTTGTATTGTTTTATGTTTTTAAAAAGGGATGGGGTCGATTAAATTTACTTTGAATTGTATTAAAAATGAGTAATGATATTAGAAAAACGAATATTTTAATCTAAATACAAAAATTAAAAAAGATTTACTGGTGCACCACTAACGGAGTTTTCCGGCCGTCTAAAGGTTAAAACACTCTATAGATAGTAGGTGCAATCCACGATCTGTAAAATTTCCTTTTAAAAAATCAGTAACGTTCGCTATTCCCAGAATAAGAGAATAAGAATAATAATTATCGGTAACGTAAGAGCCTTTTTACATTCGCAATAAAACAGACAAATTATTTGTAAAATCAACAATAATTTTTTAAACTTCATTTAATTTTTCAATTAAAATAATTTTCAAAATTACGTTTTTAATTAAAATTTCTTTTATAAGTTTTTATTATTATGATTTTTAATTAAAATTAATGAATGTGAGATGACTTGTTTTGAAAACAAAGTTTTAATTATTATGATTTTACATAGAGTAAAAGACAACTCTTTATGCGAAAATAATACTAAAAATATATAGAAAACAAAAGAATTAGAAAATCTTTGTGTGATCTTACAAATATCATCAAAATTTTATAGTTATATTGAAAAATGAGACTAGTAGGTAAACTAGAGGGGCATCAACTCAGAGGGGTACTAGCTCACTGAGTTGAAGCGTGTGAGTTGAGGTGTGTGCATATTCACCTCATCCCCCCCCCCCCTCCCGATCGGCCCGTGCACTGTCGATTCACCCCCCCCCCTCCTACTGAGTTATACCGATGCGTTCTACGCACTCCCCCTCCCCTACTGAGTTGATCTGATGTGGCGTATACCGGTGCGTTCTACGCACTCCCCCCTCCCCTACTGAGTTGATCTGATGTGGCGTATACCGGTGCGTTCTACGCACTCCCCCTCCCCTACTGAGTTGATCTGATGTGGCTTGATCTGATGTGGCGTGCGTTCTCTGCATTTCCCCCTCTCCCACTGATTTGATTCCTATGCACTACGCGCGTGTTCTGTGTTACGCGTTTTGATTGTTTTATTGTGTGTGTGTGTGTGTGTGTGTGTGTGTGTGTGTGTGTGCGCGCGTGTGCGCGCGTGTGTTAAAAATTTTTAGATTTATCTGAAAAAAAACGGACGGATCGGGGGATCGAACGCGCGTCCTCCGGATCCGCAGGCCGATGCTCTACCGCTAGAGCTACAGCCACTGTTACCACGGGCAATACCGTATTGTGTATACTGGCTACACACGCGATTGATATGTGGGGGGGGGGGGGGGGGGCGGCGGCGCCGGCGGCTGCTGCTGCTGCTGCTGGGGAGGGCCCAAGCGCTAATACAATAAATTTTAATAAATGTTATAAATAGATATTTATTATATAGATATATTATTAATAATTATTTATAAGAAAAGACATTGTTATTAATAATTATTTATTATATAACAAAATATAAAAAATCTACAAAAAATACAAAAAATGTACAAAAAAATACAAAAAAATGTACAAAAATGTATAAAAAACTAACGCCTAGTTTTCGCCATCATCATTATCATCGGCGGCGTCGTCGTCGTCGGCGTCGTCGTCGTCGTCGTCGTCGTCGTCGTCGGCGTCGTTGTCGTCGTCGTCGTCGTCGTCGTCGCCGTCGTCGCCGTCGGCGTCGTTGTCGTCGTCGTCGTCGTCGTCGTCGTCGTCGTCGCCGTCGTCGCCGTCGTCGTCGTCGTCGTCGTCGTCGTCGCCGTCGTCGCCGTCGTCGTCGCCGTCGTCGTCGTCGGCGGTGAAAAATTTTGCTATTTTGTACCGCGGGGCGCCGTCGACGGTTTCGTCCGTGACGCGCAGGCGCTTTTTCCCCGCGATGCGGAGACTCTGCATGAGCGCCGTTGTGGATAATTCCGCGGGCGATCTAGAAAGCTGCCTACTCAACGGAGCTGGCGACGGCGACCGAGAAGGCTGGCGCACAGCGGGGGAATCTTCGGGACTGCTCGACCGTGATGCGAATAATCTTCGCACCACCTGTCTGACCGGCCCGTTCCGATCGACGTGCCGCCTGCTGCCGCGCTGCGGTGGTGATTCCACCCACTGCGGCTGCCGACTGCAGCGACCAGCGACGCAGTGTGCGCACTCCCAGCCCCCGCATACTGGCATGGTGTTGTTGTGATCGCCGACCTGCAACAAAAAAAATGAAAAAAAAACTTAGAACATACTACTGCCGATTAAAAAAAAAGAAAAGAGAAAAAAAGAATCATACCTGTTCTCGTTGGCGGCAGGACGTCTCTTGTATCGCTGGTGGTGAAACTAAGTTCACCAAGAGCGGCTGTTGTGGCGTTGTGATGTCGATCATCATCACGGGTGCTCCTCGAGGCGTCACCAGGTCGACGCATGTCACGCGTCGTGATGGTGGTGGTGGTGGTGGTCGACGCGAGACAATCACCTCGCAGACCATCTCCACGTCGTCGTCGTCGTCATCAGACCTGCAAAAAAAAAAAAAAAAAAAAAAAAAAAAAAAAAAAAAAGATTCTTTATTTTGAAAAAAAATCGTTTCATATATCTATCTGTATAATAAATATTCAACTTACACATTCACCGTTGAAGATGATCGGGAGCATGGAGACGGTGGCGGTAATTGGAGTGGCGCTGTCCGATGCGTGCTGTAATCGGAAACACTTATATTTATATTATGCCGATAACGCGACTACGACGACGAAAACCGGACATCGCAAAATAAGAAATTTTAAGTACGCGAGAGAAAAGAATGTTAAATTTAAAATTGGAGTATATACTCTCTCTCATATACACACGTACATACATATTATATAACGAATAATACTTTTACATTAATAAATTGATAAATTATCTATATAAAATTTTATCAATTTATTAATACAATATTATTAGATATATAATTGTGTTATTAGTATACAGAAAAAAAAAGAACAGAACCTCTTTTTTTAATTTAAGAACATATATGCTCTTATTATTTTTAAAAAAATTTATGTATAAAAAAGAACAGAACCTCTTTTTTTTAATTTAAGAACATATATGCTCTTATTATTTTAAAAAAATTTATGTATAACTAATAACATTTTATTAGTATAATGGTATTAATTATAAAAAAACAGAATGAGAGAGAGAGGGTAAAAGAGAATGAAAAAAATGTACTTACAATATTGAAGGTGGAGGTGTCAGCGGCATCCGAATGGTTGCCGCTTCGTGGATGTCGTCGTCGTCGTTCCTCCTCCTCGGCGAAGGTGTTCGCGGCTGCTCGACGACGACTTCGTCCACCGCTGCTTCTTGCACCGGTAAACCGATCAATCCGAAGACTTCATCTTCGGAAAGATCGATGTCCTCGCCCAACGCCTCGATCGCTTCATTAAGTGCGTCTTGCCACGACGCATCGTCCAAGGAAAACAAATTTTCCACCCGTTCTTCACTCATTTTACTAAACACTTCACAACTCCACGACAAAAAAATCACAATGACGTATCGTTGCAAGGCGTTCGAATTTTTATTCATCTTTTGAAACACTAGCCGCGTTTCGGTCATTGGTCGAAGATTTGGGAGTAGGGATGCGAGATACGCGACAGCACTGATTTTGTCGCACGCATAAGACAATCATAATTAGTGGTGGGAGTAGCTAATGAAAATGTGATTAGTGCGGAGAAGAGACGCCAATGTGTATTAATATAGGATCGCGATAGCGCGTACGCTCTTTATTTCTCACGCAACGGACGAAGAGTAGGTGGTGGCAAGCCGTTGGCAGTGACAAGTTGCAGCGAACGAACGATCGGCCCTTTTCTGGGCCACTTTTTTTTTTTTTTTTTTTCAAGTTGACGAAGCTGTACAATCCCGACAGTTAATCGATATCATGATCAATTTAAAACAGCACTTTTCAGTGCTAAATTTTCAATAAAAAAATT